GTAAGAAAAAACCTTAGTTTAGAGATTTGCTTAATTATGGATAACTGTGGTTCGCCAAACGATGATGATACAATACCGTTGTCGACGGATGCACCAGAGCAGGGCAAATAGGAAAAATGTAAAGCGGCTTGTTTGGTGCCGTTTACCAACTTCTGATACACTTTGAATGCCCAGGATCGGCTGCTTCGGTGACACTGTTCTAAATGTTGAGTACAGTTTACGACAAATAGCCTATTCGTTAAGCTTGAACAGTTTAGCTTGTCTAGCTTCTTACTTGAAACCAAAAACAGTTCGTGTTACTGACAAGTCTTAATACTTACACTACCAGACTTGAAAATAGTAGTCTACGATGTTGGCTCTATTCACCTTTTACTGTTCTTTCTTTCTCCAAATAAAGCGAATGATAGGAAGAAAAAAAAAAGGGAGAAAAAGTTTCAACATATTTTGTATTTTATATTTAGCTTTTTTTTGTTTCTTATTTTTCTCTTCATCTTTTTTTATTTTTTTTTCTTTATTTTCTGCGAATCTTAGTCCTGTTGTGTAGAATGCTATCATTTTTGGCGGTAATGAAGACGGAACAAAAATAAAGTTGTGATAAATAAAGAGAAGAAAAATTGTTAAGGCATTACTCAAAGCGGTCACTTCAAACGAGCCTTATGATGATGGCTGTGCTTAAAAACGAAGTGTGTCTTGTGGAAATCGAAAAATAGACTGATTTTTAAAAAAGGATAAGGGCACTGAAAAGAACAAAGCCTATATTGTTGTTGCCTAAGAAGTGTGTATTATTTGAGCTTCCAGAAAATGAAAGCATTGTTTGTTTTTGTTTTTGTCGTTTTTTTTCTGGCTTTGATTCAGAAAAGGTTGCAAAAAATTTGTGTGGCCGCAAAAGCATTACATTAGGCAATCTTCAAATATTTCAAATAACTAAAGAAAAAATTAGCTAGAACAAGGAAGAGATAAAACACTGACAATATGTTAATAATTTTAGATATATGAAGTGCGAAAATGTAGCAAAAATAAATACTTAAACATATCTCAAACGCTAAAATCATAAACATTGAACAATGTCAACAGCTAAGCTTTACTTTTGCGCCC